TTGATCACTGAGACAACTTTATAATTCATTTATGTATAAATTATATATAACATACACACATATATAAACTTAGTATATAAAAATTACCTAGTGATTTAAAAGTTCCCAGGGGGAATTGAAAAATTGTATGTTACTGTGAGAGGTGCATGAAAAAGAAAGATCACGAAAATCCTGGACCAAAGTAACTGCCATGTCTTTCCTCTAGACACTCTTTATGGAGTGCAAGCAACGTCTGACATTTTTTTTTTTGAGAGAGGTTTAATAGGTAGAATAAAAGAGAAAGAAAAACAGCTTTCTCTTTGGAGGAAGGGGTTTCTGAGCTGAAAAGACCCCTCTGACATTTTACTCTACCTCTCTGAAGCTTCCAGATTCATGACCATAAAAATAACAGGCATCAGATTATAATGGAAAGAACCCTGACTTGTGGATATGGATTCTGGGGTTTCAAATTGGGCTCCCATTCGGAGAAGTCACCATACACATAAATTTAAGTTTCTATTGAATCTTCGCATCTGCTTTGCTCCAACTTAATTTATCTGCATAAATAAGACAAATTGCAACTTGGTCTTTCTTATGTGATTCTCTCACTTTTGATTCTGCATTTATTCCTACTCCCAGCCCTTTTACCCTCCTTTCTTCCCAAAGGGAAGAACCTTAACTCCTGCAAGAAAATCAATAGAGATTTAACAACTCATTGATAGTTTTCCTAAAGTCAACCTACCTTCTTCTTTACCCTAAGCACTTTGCAATTAGCCTTGTTGTATACAGCTGTAACTGATAATAAGATATAATGAATTTGGAGTATTCTCCTTTAGATTTACCATATCTCCTCAATTGTAATTATTTAGTGCCCTTATTATTCATAGGCTCATAGAGTCATAGAATCCATTCTCCTTTCACTGAAGAAATTACGCAATTAAACTTGCAATTAGACTACCTACCTCTGAGACACTGCTTACCAGGCCCAGAGCCTCTTTTTAAAAGGCACTTTTGTAGGAAAAGGCACTTTATGGATAACTAGACCTTCTGACTCTCATTCTGTAACTGTTAGAGACTATTAGCCATCTTGGGTGCCTGCTAATAATGTGATAATCTGAAAAATCAACTGATACAAACATATTATGGATCACTGGGATGGCTACCTTATAGCTGAGTGCCATCATACAATTTCATGCTGGGTCTATACAGTAGATCCTGTGTGCCTGTAGGTTCCATGTCTACCAACCACAGATTGATTCAAACAACCACAGAGTGAAAATATTCCAAAAAGTTTGCAATAATAATAATAGTACAAACTAAAAAATAATATAATATAACTATTTACATAGCATTTACATTGTATTAGGTAATGTAAGTACTCTAGAGGTGATTCAAAGTATATGGGAGAATGTATGTAGGTTAGTAGCAAATATCATATCATTTTATATAAGTGACATGAGCATCTGAGGATTTTGGTGTCCACAGGGGTATACCAAGGGATGATTATATTTACATTTTTTGTTGTTCCAAGATAACACAATATAAATTCAAGAAATATGAGACAATGGACTATTAATAGATGGTGTTGATAGATGTCAGAAATATATACTCCATAATTTTGACTCATGTCTGAAAACTCAGCTGCTTTATCGCCCCCTCCAGGAAGTCTTTCTGTGCACTCAAGATCCCCTAATGGGCTCTTGCTTTATATTCTCATGTTACCTGTCCTTGCTATGCTATTTTGCCATTAAACAGTGGAGAGAGGTTGGGATTAGGGTTTGATTATTTTAGATCTAATCACTAACTCTATTGTCTCAAAGGCAAGCACTCCTTTCCTCCCCATATCAGCATGCCTAGTATATAGTAGGCATTCAGGGTTTGTTGAAATAATCTAGCTCCTGAAAGTGTCATATTCTGGCAGGAGGTGCGCTTTTAAAGAGGCAGTTTCTCAGGGGCAACTCAGAAAATGTCACACCTTTTGAACTGCTGCCTAGAAAAATCTGACACTGGTGACATTAACCTTTAGAAGCCATATTAGCATTTACTTGAAGGCCATGTTTTGCAATGAACAACAGGCTCCATCTAAGACTAATAACTTGTGCTCTAATAACACAGGTTTAATAAAAGTGTAAAATGGATTGAGAAATTATCAGAAACCACAAACTCCCAGATTATAACTGTATAGCAAAGAACATATTTTCTTGTTAATCTTCCACTTCCCAGTGGTCTGTGTTCACTTCATCGTCCCTAGAATCCAGTCATGTTAATTATAGCACTAGTTCTTATGGTTTCCAGACAGAAATATTATTCATCTGTGCAAATCCTGATGTTTACTTGTGGATCCAGGTTTCATTGCATCACTTGGTAAAAGTTTATTGAAAAAGTGACATTTTTAGAGAGATTTGCCTGTTTGAAAAAATAGACAAAATAGCAGACTTTGAATAACAAGCAGTACAATCAAACTTAATCCATGTCTATTCAGCCATTGTCTATACTCACCATTTTGCTAAACCTATAAAAGAGGGACAAGACACCAAACTTTCTGTAGAGTAAATGCGGTCATTGTACTCTGTAAGCTACGGCCCATTAAAGAACTTGTGCCTATTTGTTAGCCTTCTGTGCATTAAAAAAAGGTAATCTCTAGAAGAATCACATTTCTTTCCTGCTTAATTGTAGTTTAGCTAACACTGGTTGATATATTTTATTCTCCAACCTGATAGCTATATTATTCTGGTATGTTACTTTCTCTTTCCTGGGTTCCTACTTTTCATAAAATTTTTTATTTTCCATCAAAACTTATCACTCCCTTAGCGTTATCTCAGTAAATGACATGCTGCCAACACAGTGCCTCAGTTAAAAAAGTTTAGGAAATATCTTTGGTTTCTCTCTTTCCCTCATTCTGTCCTCAATTTTTAATATTTTGATAACTATTGGCTTTATCTTCAAATGTATCACAAATTCATTAACTTCTGTCTCTTCACCTCGCTCTTACACTGGTCCAAGCCACCAACATCTCCCTTGTATGTCATTGCAGTAACTTCACATTATTTTCCTATTTCCATCTTGCAGTTTTATAATTCAGTTTACACAGAGCAGCCAAAGTGATCTTGTAAATGTAAACAGACCCCGTAAGTCCACAGCTTGAGACTCCTGTGGCTGCTTCTCCTACTTGAAGGAAAAGCCAAACCCCTTACGTTGATCTTTATGAGCTTCATGATGTAGCCCTATTTCTGTCTCTAACTTTATGTCCTACCACTCTCACCTCCAATTACGAAGCTGCACACATGGTGTGATTGCCCAATGGGTTCTTCCTGCCTAATGTGCAGGTAGAGCCAATTTACTGAAATAGCAGTATTACAGTAGAGTAAGAGTTTTAAAGATGCAGAGCTAGCAAAGCAGAAGGATGAGTTTATTACTTAAATCAGCCTCCCTGAGAACTCAGAGGCTAACAGTTTTATGGATAATTTTACAGGTGTCGAGCTGGGAAAGGGGTGCTGCTGATTGGTAGGGAATGAAATCATAGTGATGTGGAAAACAATTCTCATGCACTGAGCCAGCCTCTGTGTGGAAGCCACAGGACCAGTTGAGTCATGAGTAACAGGTCTGGGTGGAGTCAGTCAGCAGAATACAGAAGTCTGAAAAATATCTCAAAAGACCTTAATTTCTATAATAGTGATGTTATCTTAGAAGCAGTTTGGAAGTTATGAATCTTGTGATCTCCAGCACAGTAAAATGATTATAGAAAGGAAAGCTATGTCTACATCTTAGCAGAAATCAGGCCTCTCCCGTAATCCTAATCTTATGGCTTTTCATTAGACTTAACAAAGGTGGTTTCCTTCCCCAGACAGAGAGTGTCAATTTTAGGGAGGGACTGTTATCATTCTGTCTTCAAAGTTAAACTTTCTTCAAAGTAAGTTCCCATCAGTAACAGAGTCAGCCATGCTAGACTAGACTTCTCCTACTGTTAGTCTTTGCAAGGTGACTTCACTGGCTTCTTGCAGAAATTCTAAGAAGGCCAAGCCTGTTCCTGCTTTGAGGATTATGTTTCTGTTCCATGGGTCAGGAACATTCCTTTTTTAGTTCTTTGTTTGGTAGGCTCTCTCTTATTCTTCAGATTTTCAGACAAATTTTACATACTCAGGAACTTCCTGGCCATCCAACATAAATTAGTCACCCTCTCTTCATGTGCCATTCAGTCTCCCTCATTAGCATGCTTCATGATTATCTTGTTTTGTATATTGTTTATTCTCTTCCCACTTGATTGTAATTTCCATGAAAGCAGGGAATGCTATTTCTTTTATTCACCTGAATGCTTAGTTCAGGCACTTGTTCATCCAAATGGGTGCCTGACACATGAATGGCCAAAAATATTTGTTGAATGAATGAATGAATGAATAAATAATTGAGAAAAATGGCCAAGACTTTCAGAATCTAAATGTGCTGACTTATGACCTGTAGTTTACTTTCTGACAATCTGAGCTCTTTAGTACATAAAGGGTCTCTTGAGGTCAGTTGGTTGAGTTTGAAAAATGATTGTTTGTCCAAGCACAGTTGCTAATCCCAGCACTTTGGAAGGCTGAGGCAGGCAGATCACTTGAGGTCAGGAGTTCGAGACTATACTGGCCAGCATGGTGAAACTCTGTTTCTACTAAAAATACAAAAATTAGTTGGGCGTAGTGATGCACACCTGTAATTCCAGCCACTTGGGAGGCTAAGGCTAGGAGAATCACTTGAACCCCAGAGGTGGAGCTTGCAGTGAGCCAAAATCGTACCGCTACACTCTAGCCTGGGTGACAGTGAGACTTTGTCTCAAAAATAAACAACTAAAGAAATACAAATTTTAAAAAGAGAAAGAAAAATGATTGATTATGCTTAAGGATATCATTGTGAGAAAAATTCAGTGGCTTATTTGATTTGGGTTCAGAGGATATTGCCTAGCCATGTAAGCAGCCATACTCTTGCACAGTATATATCACTTTAGTAGAAAATACATTTACAGATTCTTGTATTTTTTTTTCTAGCGTAATGCACTGCCTACTTTTCAAAATTATGTTATGACTTCAGGGGAGAAGAGATCCACAAGAACCAGTAACAGGAAAGCTTAAGCTGCTTGGAAATCTTTAAATAAACTTTCAATATGGGTAAGCAGTGATCATTTTTAATCATCCAAATTCATAAGATTTGATCAAAGGAAAGATATAGTGCCTTGGTGATAGGCAGGAAATACTAAATGCATGCTACTAATGATTGAACAATACATCTTTGGTATTGCAGAAAAATGTAGTTTTATTTGTTTTGTTTTTGACTTAAAGTTTGTCAGTCTTAAATAATGAGATTCAGAAAAGATTATTGAGTATAGCATTTATTTCAGTGCAACGCTTAAGGATAGCCATCCAGGAGACACAACTCCAAACAAATAAGATTAGTGTTTTAAAGTGGGGAAGGTAAAGTTTCACTTACATAGGCAGAAAGGAAAGTTTATCAGATTGCACCTTCATAGGAAACCAGTGCATATGTTACAGTGATTTGATTGGTTATAGATTGCTACATTCTGAGGAAGATTATTTTATTCCTGAGGATGGGTAGACTGTGATCTGAGAGGCTCTAATCTCTGGCACTCTTTAGTCATAATTATTTACAGGAAAAAAAGAGTCAGAAGTTGCAGCTGCATGCCATGTGACTCTGACTGCATAGCCACATCTCTCATAGCTCAGAACAATTTTAAGTTCCAGCAACTTTAAGTTTGAATTTCATAATTTCACAGACTCTAGAGATTAGTGTAATTCAACTGTAAGAAATAATAAGTGAAATCTTTCCCCCTAATTAATTAAAAGATAGTGGTGGATCTAATTCGTTTTCATTAAAAATGAGGAAATGAGTTATTTTAATAAATAGCTCTTGGGGCAGAGAAAAAAATATTTTAACTTATATAGAAAAATAAAATGCTCTCTAGTGCAGAAACAAGAACGACATAGAAGATTCCCTCTGAGACAAAAGAGTTTGAAAAAGATTACAAGAAAAATTATTGCAAGACATAGGTATTTTATTGTTAAAGAAATATGCTTTCTTTATGAAACTAGTCAAACTCTCTCTAAATCTACATGGAATTATACAGAATGCAGCAACTGAGATCCAGGCATTATGAATAAAAGATCTCCAGATTTGTTTTGAATGCCAATGGATATTTAATTGGTAAAACTCACTAATAATAGCACTAGCATTTATGTAATACTTTATAGTTCATAGACATTTTCAGCTACATTATCTCATTTAGTTTCAAAAGTAATTATTGGGAAAATCAGAATACATGCAGCATTATTTTACTGATAGAGAGGGGTTAGGGCAGGCCCAAAGTCACTTAATTTAAACTGCAATAAGTAAAATCTTTCTTCCTGCAGCTTAACATCACTTTATTTGGGAACAAAGTCTTTCATTCCGTCAGAGCATCTTGGCTTAGTCTGAATACCCCAGGAGACTTAACACATCGATTTACATTTGTAGTAAGATGGAAATGAGCAATTAATGATCCTTTTCTGTGGGAAGACTTTGGGAAAGCGTGGGTCAGGAGCCCACAACCCTTGAAAAGGTGGATACCTTTAAGAAGAGGAGGTTGCGGCTAGACCTGGTGGCTCATGCCTGTAATCCCATCATTTTGGAAGGCCGAGGTGGGTGGATCACAAGGTCGGGAGTTCGAGACCAGCCTCCTGGCAAACACGGTAAATCCTCATCTCTTTAAAAAAAAAAGAATGTTGCAGGAAGGAAGTAGGAATCCCTGAAAGGACATCTTTCCTTACTCACAGGTCTTGGGAGGCCATTCTTTCCTTAATTTACTATGCTGGTGAATATATGAAAGTATATTTATGTTCTTGAAATTTTTAATCTTTGTTGATTCTTTGAAATAATGAATTAAGACATAGTTTAAATTTTCTAAGTTAGTAGGAGTTAGCCAGTTAAGGAGGAGGGGGAGGCAGCATATTCCAGGTAGAAGCAGCAGTACATGTGAAGGCGAGAGGCAAGAGATGATATGGCCCATTTTATTACTATGTTCCAGAATAATCCACTGAAATACGAATTTGTGTTGTGTTTGCACAGCTTAGGCATGTAAGAAATATAAGAGCTATTTTTTTCTCTCTCTCATACGCCTTTGTCTCAGTTGAGCTCTGGAGTGAATGAAAATCTGGGATTTGTCTTACAGAGTTAAGAAAAGTTCGTAAAAGAACACAGTCCAGCGGAGGGAGTGGGCTTTGGGACTCTAACATCAGGAACCAGACATGACAAAAACTGAAAGAGACTCCAGACCTTGAAGGGATGGTGATTAGAGATTCTGGAAGCAGCAAATTTGTACTCTCTCTCTTCATGGCATCGCAGGGAGGTATCAGGGGCTCCAACAAGAATGACTGGACCCAATTACCAAAGCTGCCACCATTCAAAAGGATGTCAGTGCATGTTACCAGCACAGGGGAAGCAAATTTACCTCTACCTATCTTGGGGTTTTTTGGTGTGTGTTTGTTGTTGGTGATGGTGGTTTTTTAGACAGAGTCTCTCTCTTTGTCACTCAGGCTGGAGTGCAGTGGTGCAATCTTGGCTCACTACAACCCCTGCCTCCTAGGTTCAAGCAATTCTCTTATCTCAGCCTGCCCGAGTAGCTGGGACTACAGGTGCACATCACCATGCCTGGCTAATTTTTGTTTTTGGTTTTTTGGTTTTTTTTTTAGTAGAGACTGGGTTTCAACATATTGGTCAAGCTGGTCTTGAACTCCTTACCCTTGGTGATCCACCTGCCTTGGCCTCCCAAAGTGCTGGGATTACAGGTGTGAGCCACCGTGCCCTGCCACCCATCTTGGGTTTCTAGCTGGGATTTATGAACAAAAAAGACAGATTAAGAAGAGAAAAACAGTTTACTATAATGCATGCAATGCACATCATACAGGAGAAACCTCAACTGAGTAACTCAAATCAGTGGCTCAGAACTCTGGCTTATGTAGCATCTTCAAACAAAGACCAACAAATTTGTCAAGAAATGACAGGACAAAGAAAAGTAGTTTTAGTCTTCCAAGGGTGGCTTGTAGGAAGGTAAAAATATGTGAGGAAATGAATGGAGTAAGATTTGTTTGCAGCTTTCTCTGGTGTTATCTCTAGGCTGATAAGTGTCTAGTGTTCTCTCTAGTAAAGGAGAATTTATATCCTGCCTTTAGGCAAGAAAGGGGGAGGGCAGAGAGAGCTTTTCCTGCATTTGCTGCTGCTTAATTGCCTTCAGCTCAAAATAATTTTTATGTAAATTAGGCATATTTTGGGGTGACATATTCTGGTTTCCTTCACCAGCAAAGCCTCCTTCCAAAGGAAATTAAGACTTGGAAAATAAACTATTCCCTGTGTGGGCCAAAGATAAGACCCAATGAATCTGAGAAAGACGGAGATGAGATTGGAAGGGAGATATATATTTTGTTTTTCTTACAAGTGTGCAATTGCTGTAAATACTCAAGCCTTCATCCATTTGTGTTGGCTATAAAAGAATACCTGAGGCTGGTACTTTATAAAGAAAAGAGGTTTATTTGGCTCATGGTTCTTCAGGCTGTACAAAAAGCATGGCACCAGCATCTGCTTTTGGCTGCTTCTGCTTATGGTGTGTAGAGATCATCTGTCAAGAGAGAAAGTGAGATAGAGAAGAGGAGGTGCCAGGCTCTTTTCAACAATCAGTTATTGCGGGAATTGAGAATGAGAACTCACTCAAGAATAGCACCAAGCGAGTCATGAGAGATCTGTGCCCATGATCCAGATACTTTCTGTCAGGCCCTAGCTGCAACATTGGGGATCAAATTTCAACATGAGACTTTCAACAAACTTTATCTATTCTATAACATTCCTCCCCTGGGCCCCCAAATCTTATGTCCTTCTCACATTGCAATCATTCTGTCCCAATGGTTCCCACAAGTGTTAACATGTTCCAGCACCAACCCAAAAGGCCAAAATCTCTTCTGAAACTCAAAGGAAGCTGTGAGTCTATAAAATTAAAATCAAGTTACTTACTCTCAAGATACAATAATACAACAGACATTATGTAAACATTCTCTTTCCAAAAGGAATAATTCAAACAAAAGAAAGGGGTAACAAGCCCCTTTCAGGTGAGTCTGAAACCCAGCAGGGCAGACATTAAATTTTAAAGACTCAAAACAATTGCCTTTGACTTTGTGTCCCAATAGCCACACTGGTTCAGTGGGTGGGCTTCCAAGGCCTTGGAGTTCCAAACTTTTATCTTCCTGTTTTCTGAGCCCTCCGACCTTTTCCACCCTGTGCTCATTACCCAGTTCCAAAGCCACTTCCACATTTTCAGGTATGTTTATAGAAAAACCCTACTCCTGGTACCAAATTTATATCTCAGTATGTTTGTCTTGCTGTAAAGGAATATCTAAGGCTGGCACATTATAAATAAAAATGTTTATTTGGCTTGTGATTTTTAGACTGTACAAAAAGTGTGATTCCAGTATCTGTTTCTGTTGTGGGCTTCAGGCTGTTCCTGAAGATTGTATGGCAAGAAAGGAAATGAGAGATAGGAGGAGGTACCAGGCTCTTTTCAACATCTTATTTTTTATTTTTTGAGACGGAGTTTCGCTGTTGTTACTCGAACTGGAGTGCAATGGCACAATCTCGGCCCACCACAACCTCCACCTTCTGGGTTCAAGCAATTCTCCTGCCTCAGCCTCCCAAGTAGCTGGGACTACAGGCACACACCACCATGCCCAGCTAATTTTTTTATTTTTAGTAGAGACGGGGTTTCACCTTGTTGACCAGGATGGTCTCGATCTCTTGATCTCATGATCCACCCGCCTCGGCCTCCCAAAGTGCTGGGATTATAGTTGTGAGCCACCATGCCCAGCTTTTCAACATCTTATTAAGGGATCTGTCCCTACAATCCAAATACTTCCTATCATGCCCCAGCTCCAGCACTAGGGATCAAATTTTAACATGAGACTTGGCAGAGCCAAGCAAAGCGTATCCAGACCATAGCAGCTCACTTGGTAGATGTCAGTTGCTTAGCTTACACTCAGATGTCCTAGGACTCTAAGGTCTGATCCAGGCCTTTAGAATGTGAATGGCTCATACTTACTCTCATCTCCAGAGTTTGTGGGATTTCTGAAAGTTTCAGGATTATTATCTTCTACATATGCATACATTTAGAATTAGAAGCATAGGCCAGTTGTGATGGCTTATATCTTTAATCCCAGCACTTTAGGAGGCTGAGGTGGTAGGGTCACTTGAACCCAGGAGTTTGAGAACAGTCTGGGTGATATGGTTCGGCTCTGTGTCCCCACCCAAATCTCATCTTTGGGCTGGGCATGGTGGCTCACACCTATAATCTCAGCACTTTGGTAGGCCAAGGCAAGTGAATGACAAGGTCAGGAGTTGGAGACCAAATCTCATCTCTAACTGTAATCCCCATATGTTGGGGGAGGGGCATGGTGGGAGGTATTTGAATCTTAGGGGTGAGCTTTCCCCTTGCTCTTCTCATGATAGTGAGTTGTCATGATATCTGGCTGTTTGTAAGTGTGTGGCACTTCCCCATTTATTCTCGCTCTCTCTCCTCCTCCACCATGGGAAGATGTGCCTCGCTTTTCTTTCGCTTTCCACCATGATCGTAAGTTTCCTGAAACCTCCCCGTTATGCTTCCTGTTAAGCTTGCAGAACTGTGAGTCAGTTAAACCTCTTTTCTTCATAAATTATCTAGTCTCAAGTAGTTCTTTATAACTGTGTGAAAATGAACTAAAACACTGGACAAGAACTATGTTTAGCAAGAACTTGTCTTTATTAAAAAATGAGCTAGACATGGTGGTGCATGACTGTAGTCCCAGCTACTCAGACTGAGTCAGGAGGATCCCCTGAGCTCAGGAGTTTGAGACTCCAATGAGCTATGATCACATCGCTGCACTTCAGTCTGGGCAAAAGAGCAAGATCCTACCTCAAAAAAAAAAAAAAAAAAAAGGAGAATATCTAACCAGTAGACCCTGACCCAGTGACGGATAAACAAATGTACTCAGACACAGATATCCAGTGAAAGAACAGGCTTCCTCACGGGCCACTCACAGCCCCGAGAAGGGTGCTGTAAGAGTCAGCAGCCACAGCCCTTACCAGCTGGTGCTACAGGCATTTATTCCATATAGATGTAATGACAGAGACTTTGAGTCAACACACTTGTGGAATGATTAAAGGCCACGTTTTGAGGCTTAAAGCAAACATCATTTGTGGGTAATAACACTGTTGACCTCTTCAAGTAGAGAGTAGTCATGTGCCCATGGATTTTCAAAGGTCAGACTTAGGACTACTTGAGTAAACCAGCTCTTTAGATAAACTTCTTTACATTTCTTTGTACTTACTTCTGCCTAATTGCCTCTGGGTAAGAACTGCCACCCTCAGCTTATTCCTTGCTGGGGGTCTTGCGAAAACCTCCCGGCCTTCCTATTTTTCTATAATTTTTCTCTTGTAATTTCTCCCACCACCCTGACTGAACCCCTACAGGAGAAGAAAAGAAACATAATTAGAAAAACTCATGCTCACAATGATTTGATAAGTTCCATATTTTTAATAGTCACAGGTAACAGACTCATGTAAAGATAAGCTATACAAACGTAAAACCTGATGGAGTTCAGGAAATACTACCCCTAAACATGACACCTTAGCATTTGAGAAATAAGCAGAAGGAAAAATCACCTTTACCTTCTGCTTACCCTTCTCTGCTGAAGCAGACCCTGAGAAAGTCACTCTCTTGACCTTCTTTAACTCTTCTCCCCTGAAGCGGTTCCTAAGACCCTCATTTATGAGGTACCCTTTCTATACTTTGAGCAAAGGAACATATTTACCTCTGAAGACACAGACATACAGAAAAGAATCTGCCCAAACAGTCCTAAGTTCTCACCAGTTTATTACCATTAGATCATACCCTTTTTTTTTTTTTTTTTTTTTTTTTTGACGGAGTTTCGCTCTTGTTACCCAGGCTGGAGTGCAATGGCACAATCTTGGCTCACCGCAACCTCCGCCTCCTGGGTTCAGGCAATTCTCCTGCCTCAGCCTCCCGAGTAGCTGGGATTACAGGCGTGCGCCACCATGCCCAGCTAATTTTTGTATTTTTAGTAGAGACAGGGTTTCACCATGTTGACCAGGATGGTCTCGATCTCTTGACCTCATGATCCACCCGCCTCGGCCTCCCAAAGTGCTGGGATTACAGGCTTGAGCCACCGCGCCCGGCCAGATCATACCCTTTTTTATTCCAATAATATTTGCCTATGACTGTACACTCATCATTAAACCTAAGTATAAAAATACACACATTTACCTGTTTCTTTGGGTCTTCATTTCCTTATAAAGTTTCCTGTGTCACATCATTTGTGTGTTTTTCTCTTGTTAATGTGTCTTATGTTATAGGACCCTCAGTCAGGAACCTAGCAATGGATGAGGAAAAGAAATCTTTTCTCCCCCTAAACGTTTACCATGTAAAATAAAAACAGGAGGTAACATTCACATGCAGAGCACAAGCTCTTTTCCAAGTACTATCCTGAGTGATTTAGCTAAAGTTTCATGATCTTTTTAACAACCCTATAGGTAGATACTATTTTTATAACAAGTACAACTGTTGGCAAGAGAAGGATAGTGGATGAAGAAATGCAAACACTAAGTAGGTAACATTTTCCATCAGAAGAGAAAATGACACTGATCACTGATGAAGTAAGCTAAAGGTAATGCCTAGACCGAAATCAAATGCTATCATAAGAGAAGAGAAAAAGCTATTATTTGTACCACAGTTAAAACTAGCCACAGAACAACTTTTTGCCAGCTAGAGAACATATGAAATGGACTTATTTTTGCCTCGTACCTTTCTGGGAGTCAGTTGCTTTTTGTGTATAAGGCTTTTTTGGCATTATCTCTCTTGGTCTCTCATGGAACAATTAGGGATTACTGACAGATGACTTTCAGCACTATTGTCAGGTGGCTGTACCAGCCTGAATCCAGCCATCATTTCCAGAGCATGTAGGGGCCTCCCATTGATTATAACAAGCCAAAAACACTCTGTAGTTGGAAATTCTAGGTACTGTTCTTCAATAGAATCTACTATCTAATTTATTTTACAGCAAAATTATCACAAAAAGCATTCAGTAAATTAACTGGTTTGATTGCCAGTAGATACTACTGTTATTGTATTTTTCCCACCAGGGCACCCAGGGGAGTTTGCTCATCAGTAATATGATGATGATGATGATGTTATTTCCAATGTTTTATTGCCAGTGTCATGGCTGACCTTAGGTAAAATTGCAAAGTATTCAAAGTTCATTGTAAGAGTTCTTCTTTTCATGCATAACTTCTTCTAACTTTTTGAGAAAGGCTGCATTGTATTCAGCCTCAGGAATGCTCAGATATTCATTGAACTTCATTGAACTAATGAAGTATACTTCATAATATCCTTGAACACCAAAAACATGTCCCCAGGCTTGAGCTGATTTTCCCATTGCTAAATCCATTCATAAAACCCAGCTCTTATTTGATTGATATATCAGCAAACATTTTGATACATGTGATTACATCCTTTTTGATGTACTGTATTTTTTGGTACCATTAGCCTCCTGGATATCCCATTTCCTGGGTTTTCTTCCTATCTCACTGATAGATTTTTAAAAAATCTCTTGTCTGCTCCTTCCCTTCTTTCGAGCTTTTAACATTGGAGGGGTCCAGTGCTCAGGCATTGTTTCTCTTCTTTTTCTCTCTACATTTACTTTTTTAGGTGATCTCATTTGGTCTCATTGCTTGAAATATCATCATATGCCAATGAATCCCAAATTTATATCTCTTGTGTGGGCCTTCCTCCTGAGCACTACTCATGTACCCAGACTGCCTACTTGAAAGCCTGTCTTGAATATTTACTAGGTATCTCAAACTTAACCTGAACAAAATTGAACTCCGTATCTTCCCCAGAAAATCTGTTCTTCCTGAAGTCTTTTTCTGTCTCACTTGAAAGAAACTTGATCATTCTAGTTAATTCAGGCAAAAGCTTTAGAGACATCCTGGACTCCTCCTTTCCCTCCTCACACATCCAACTTCACACCTCTGACTTCAAAATACATCCAAAATTCAATCACACTTGACCATATCCAGTTACCTCCACTGTGTTAAGAGACAAATATTGGCACGTTAAAACTTTTAAAAGTTTATTTGAACAGACAACAGTTCATGAATGAGGCAGCTCAAGACTGAAAGCAATTTGGGGCTCCAGTAAATGGGCATAAGGGGAAGGCTTTTAAAGGGTAAACGAGGAAGCAGGGCAAAAGAAATTGGTTAAAGTGATCAAATTAGAAGTCAGTTGGATGGTGGTTTCAGTTGGCTATGCATAAGTAATAGAATGTTCCTAGTTAGATGTTAGTAGATGGTTTCTGATTGGTTAAGAGCATTTACACTGAACTAGATTTGGTTTGCTTAAGTGGGAACCCAGGGTGCTGGAGCTGCCTCAGTCTAATGGCCTCCCAATTTATTAATAGGTGCTACCACCTTCACTGATAGATCATCATCTCCTGCCTGGATTATTGCAAAAACTTGCTAATTACTTTCCTTGCTTTTACCTTTATTCATTCTCTTGGTTTAGATTCCTCCAGTAGCAGACCCTGGGTAAGGATTTGCATGTAACTTATTTAGGAGGTGATATCAGGAGGCATTGTAGAAAGTAGTGCAGAGGTAGGAGTAAGGAGAAAAGCCCATTAAAGATTTAATGTTAATGAGGAGGTTTCTACTGCAGACAGCAGGGCGTAATCTTACTAGGGCCCCTCTGAGAGATTGAGTGGAACATTTCTCTGAATTGTGACACCAAGGGGCAAGAAACTTGAGATAGGGAGCCCAACTGATAGAATATCTCCCGTATCTGAGGACCACTAAAGCACTGTGCCTTTTTCTTTAATATAGCAGGTGCATGGTATAATAACTTGTCCTTTACATTGAAGGAATGTCCTAGTGTAGCAGGAGCGGCCGTGGGAAACGGATCTCTCTAACACAGAATAAAGGAGGGAAGAGTTTATTCGGCCAGGAGACCAGGCAGTAATTTGTCAAAAGCCCAGCTCATTTAACAAAGGAAGGTTCTGCCTTTATATAGGCTTACACTTTAGATGTTACACATGGAAGAATCTTAGGTTTATAGCTTTAGGAATCACATGTGAAAGGGTTCCGGTTTACAGTTTAGGACTCACATGCCAAAAGGTCTCGGTTTACAGTTTCAGGAATCACATGTGAAAGGGTTTCGATTTGCAGTTTTAGGACTCACATGTGAAAAGGTCTCTGATTTGATCTTGTTTTAAGTAAAAATAGTGTCTTCCGGAGAGCTTCCCCAAGACCAAGCATGTTATTTTCAGGAAGGAGATTCAGGAGGCACCACCTGGCATGCTCTCTCTTCTGTTGAGCTGCACAGTGGATGACAGAGGGGGAGGGAATCCCAGATGTCTGGGTCTCCTTCCTCACCAGCTTGCCTCAAAACATTGACTATAAAAATGTCACTGATGTACCCTAAATTTTCTTTTTCTTTTCTTTTCTTTTTTTTGAGACAGAGTCTCGCCCTTTTGCCCAGGCTAGAGTGAAGTGGAGAGATCTCCACTCACTGCAACCTATCTCCTTCACCGGGTTCAAGTGATTCTCCTGCCTCGGCCTCCTAAGCAGCTGGGATTACAGGTGCCTGCCACCACACCCAGCTAATTTTTGTACTTTTAGTAGAGACAGGATTTCACCTTGTTGACCAGGATGGTCTTGACCTCTGAATCTTGTGATCCACCCTCCTCGATCTCCCAAAGTGCTGGGATTATAGCGTGAGCCACCGCACCCGGCCGAAGCTCAATTTTATAGCCATCTCCTCTCCTATCAACCCTGGTCTAGAGATTACATCTATTATCAGTCATTTTAAATGATTCCAGTACTCCCTTGTTAGTATGTTCTTTGTAGTTTTAGTGGAGTGTCTACCCAGGCTCTTCCAGGTAAGAATCAGCTAGTATGTTCTCAGGTCTTATGTAATGAGCCCATGTCTTTATGACCCCTTTCTCAATAATCTGCTAAGGCAGTACTGGCATCTCCACTGTAGACCATCCTTATTTCCAAGCTTCAAGGAGCCAGCCAGCAGTGTATTAGAACTGACCCTAGGCAACCTTGTCAATGTATTATCATTTAAGTATCAGGAGATTGTCCAATATCAATGAATTCCCTATATTTTGTTCCACCTCAACCCTCATTCCCCATTCAACACTCTCAGTATATATATCACATGTATTCTGCTGGTTCTTGCTAATACGCACTAGCCAGGTTCAGAGACTTTGGGGGTAAAGCATCTGTTTACCTAATTAACAGGCACAGTAATTCCCCACTTGAACCATACTGAGACCTGATCCCAGTCATTTGTCTAAAATCAACGAGCGGAAGTGAAGGGAGATCTTGAGGAGGGCAAACATTATTTTTGTGGAGCCTCAGGAGAGATTTTTCAGTAGTCCCCAGGTAATGGGATGCAATAGGGAGAGGGTTGCCTATGCCAGTCAGAGATGCTGGAGTTAATGCCAATAGTATTAATACAATTCTCATCAAGTAAGGGAAGGGGTTGCTTGGGACTAACCTCTTAATGGCACAATTCTGTGGTGTATTGTACACATTCTCTCAGAAGGGCCACAGCAACACTGACCTCTGTTTGCTGACAGTGGTTACCAGTTGCTAATTGTGCTGAATAAAAGATAAACATATGCATGGCATTTCGGGCACCTGTGCTAAACATTTTCTAAGAATCACTCCTTTTGTTCTCCCAAGGAAGGAAGGAAAGTCAATAAAAATTACCACCAGATCTTTGCTCCTAAACACAGAAAATGAAGATTATTTTAAAAATGACTTGGATTTATTTTTGAAAATAGTATTTCATAATCTTGTTTTTGCTTTTAATTTGAAGATTTAAGCTAGTCTGTGATCTCTTAAAATGCTGGGTCCTATGGATCCTTGTTTGTGCAACAGCTCGCCTTTAACCTGTTTCATTGTTTGAGGAACAAGATGTGGGAAGGTAGATATTAGAAAGGCAGAATGATTTCTTTCAAGTTACATGTGGAATTTTAAAATATTTTAATCAACCACATTAAAATTCTGTTATAAATAAAATATATGTTGTGCGTACTAGTATTTGAAAACTTACAAATTTGAAGATATTCGTTGATGATCTGCTGTTTTGCCCAAAGTGTGTTAGATACAAAATATTAATTCTTATAATCTATGCCAGTGGAATGTTCCAAGGTAGTTAATTCTGTTTCTGTTTTGTTTCTTTTTTTCTTTATAGCATCATTCTAATAGGGAAATTGTCCATTTTCAAGAGATTTCTAACAGGATCTTTCTAGAGAATTATCCCCATATCTGTGATAGAAGATCCAGAAATTGTGAAAGAAAAATAGCCTACTGAGAATTTTAGTTTTTCTTGTTGCATGTTCCTAAATTGTATTTTACCAGATGGTTGTCTCCCATGGTGCACCACTGAGTTACACAGGAGAGCATTGATATTTTCTACCTCTTTTCTCCACTAGCTGCAAAAAGTTGTCCCTTCACAGACTCCATGAGGGGAAAGACACCATGGAAAGAGACTGCATACTATTTTACTTTTCCTTCTTGGACCCTGAAAATCAAACTTCAGCAAAGTAAACTTACCAAAGACATAGTTAAGATAAATCACCATGTCCAGAGCAAATCAGAAAAGGGTGGAATATTGCTGATCAAATGCTTTAAAAGGAGTCCTTAGCTCTAACTTGTTTCTTGGTCTTGGTTGGCCCTGAGGTTGCCTTTCAGGAAGTGGTGTGCTGGAGACGGTTCTTACTTGCTCTTGTGGTTCACAGGCATCTCTTTGCAGCTCTACATTCAGTGACATCACAGTAGCTTGAAATTAGCCATAGATGAGAAGTATTTACACCATGGAAATCTGGCAAATGTTACAAACTCTGACCTTTTTTTCCAGTTCTTAGACATTTGCTAGCACACCACTGAGACCCATTATTTACCAAGTATGAGTGCTTTGGTCCCTTGAAACCAAAAACCTTACTGAAAAAAATCAAAGTTCTAGTTACTTATCATTTGGCCAAATTACTTATTCTCTGTGAAGCCCATTTCCTTATCTGCAAAAGAGAAAGGATAATACACTCTAGTTACTTACCTACATTATGTTATTGTGAAAAACCCAG